TTAAAAATATAAAGATTTTTCGATTTGGACGTATGAAAAATGTTTAACTCGTTCAGGCACACCGTGTATTGTATGGAGTACTGCTGTTATTCGACCGTTGTCTTCAGGTCAAAATTCTTACAAAGAAGCCCCTTGCAAGAGGCAAATTTTTTGTAATTTCTCCCAGTTTTTTCAGCGTTAGGTATATAAATGAATTGTTTGTCAAATTTTGAGGTCAATTATATTTAATTGTAATTTATACTTTCTTTTTTTCCCCTTCATTTTATTTTTCGTATCGAGGAGTCGAGGTTTTGTTGATTTCTTCGGATTTCGATTACTGTAACTTCTCTTCTATTCGGCCGATTTTTATGAATGAGGTCTCTTTTTATTTGTGTTTTAACGGAGAGTAAGGAAAAAATTGCTAAATACATGCGAAACAATTTTTTTTGAAAATTGGATGAATCCTAGCGTGACGGTGAAATGGTTAATGAAGCGTGAGTAATTGGGGTACGGGTATCGGCCGCGTTGGGACCCAAGGCCCATTGTTCTTCGTGACGCCGACGCAGTGATCAGGAGCGTGGGGACGAGAGGGCTTAGTGGACTCCTGTATGAGCCACGTTTAGCAAATGGTCTAATGAGTCTCGAGGCTCATCACAGATTGCACTTACCACTATCCTGGTGGCCCCGGCTATCAGAGCAAGGAGTACCAACTTTTGAAAAGGATAACAGTGTTGTGGAGATATGTCAAAGCAACGTTGTGAACAAAACGGAGTGAGTGAAATTCTCATTCAAGGAGTGCCGAACTGGTCAGCCATCCTCGAATCAGTTCGCTTGCTTCCGCTTATATATGCATATTTTAAATCAGCGCGCCCCATTCTAAGGTTTTTTTAAAAAAAACCAAGAAACGTAGACTCTTGGTATTCATTACACATAAACTAGCGAGCCCCAGAATGAGAAACAAATTTTAATCATTATTATTGACGGATTAGTAAACTTTTTACACGCTTTGGAAAATCTCAGAAGTTCGCGGTAGTCACTTTTCGGTAAGGAACTAGGGGACTCGGTTATTGTATCGAGGGGGGGGTCGAAACGATCGCAAAGGCGGTATACTACGTATACGCGCCAAAAAGCTCACGATAAGCGCACAATCAGCTAAAAACGAGGTCCGAATACGTCTCTCCTATTTTCGACTGTGATGCTCACATATCCCTCACAGCACCACTATAAGGACAACGCAGAGACGCAACTATTCGTGCTTGATGGATGTCCTTGTTGCATCTGCAAAATTGAAGGCGCGAGGCGTGAACTCGGCGCTATGTTTCGTTATATGCTGCTGGAAATATGTCGCTCGGATTCAGAAAAAACGTGAATTTGCGGCCCAATTACGTCTTCCCTATCTTTGGCTGTGTTTCTCACATGGCCTTGAAAGCGCCACTAAAGAAAAAGACGAACGGAAGCAACACAACATAAACATACAGCGAAGGGAAAGGAGCGGGCGTTAATGGCGATGCAGGTATCGATGGTGAAACTATCAGACCACGTATTTTGGTTTGGGACGTTGCGGATTTCTTGTCATATTTTATTTTTTAATTGGAAAGCTACTCAACATCAATGGAGATGTTGCATGTGTGAGGAATTTGCGATTTGACAGTTGATTCTTACGTAAAAGTTTGCGAGAAACACGATGGTGGCACTAGTTTTCTCTGAAATTAACTCCCAAGCTCAAAAAAAGCTCTCAAGTTGAGGCAAAAATGGAGGGGATATCCCACGCTATCCCGAGAGTCTACCTCTATACATCAAGACAAACTCTCCAACACATTAGCAGTGATGCCGTGTTTTCAATTTTGGAGTCCTCAAATAAAGTGGCAGCCCTGTTAATGTATTTGCTCCCTATCTTTGCATAGAGAGTTTGTCATAATGTAGAGGTGGACTCTCGGAACAGCGTGGGACATCCCCTCCATTTTGGCCTCACTTCGAGAGCTTTTTTTGAGCTTGGGAGATGATTTCAGAGAAAACCAGTGGGACATATCGTGTTTCTCGCGAACTTTTACACAAGAAACAACAATCAAATCGCAAATCCCTCACACATGCAACATCTCCATTTCCCCTTCGCTTTCTTTATCCGTCGCGTCGCTCTGTTTATCGATTTCACTAAACAGCCTGTAGAGGAAATTAGGCACTGTAAAACGTATACTTGGGCTGATTTCTGTTCATTGGCGGATCCAGCAAATTGGCTACATTGTCATTCCTCTATTCAAAGAAAACATAGGAAAGTGTATCGATTCTTTAAGGGACCAGGTGCTCCGACAAGAATCGATTAATTAGCATAGGTTTGAATGGAGAAAATCCGGCGTTGCCAAATTGCAGATCCGCCTCTGTTTCTGATTGATCTAATCAGAGGCTGAAGGGAAAATTGCACGCTCCCAGGATCAATTCATAAATCCTGAAAAGAAGGGACTCAAACATGCCTTATCAATGCGGACAATCCACGGGACCGCGTCAGTGGCGTGGCGTGAAGGATCGATTATCGATATCTCGCCATTTGAAACTATGGTAAATAATCGATTACTAGGGTGTTCGCTGCGAACGCCCTGATAATCGATCTTTTTCATAGGTTTGAATGGCGAATCAATCGATAAATCGCAAAGCACGCCACGCCACTGGACCGCGTCCTGTTTGTCATGAAGCTTGGCTCGCCTCGGCCGATTGACAAATAATAAAACCGCACCGATAAAGCACTTTGCCGTGCTAAGGAAGAACGCCGTATGAACATTCGCGAGTTGCCAAATTTCATTCGATAAAATAATTATTTTTGAGGAAAATTATGAATATTTTTCCTTGAAATTTTCAGACGTTTTAGATCAAATTACGAACAAACTCATCTGAGAAATCGGTAGACATACATTCAAAAATTTTCCTGAAAATGAGTGATCTGCCAGGGGAACTTTGGCAACGCCTCATGGCTCATACGGCATTTTTCATCAGCACGGCAGCACTGGCAAGGCGTGCTTTGCTGTGCATCGATATACCTACCATTTAAACCTATGGAAAGGGATCGATAAACAGGCTGTTCGCAACAAACACCTTGATAATCGATTCTTTACCGTAGCTTCGAATGGAGAAGTATCGATAATCGATCATTCACGTCGCACCACTGCTCTGAAGCCTCCCACGTGGTCGGTATAACTCATGGCAGTTGTCAATCAAATTAAACGGTCCTTGTTATATATATTTATATGTTAAGGCCTTTTGAGCCTTCATGCTCGATGAATTCGCTGTCGCGCGGATCTCCGGTACACATGAAAAATACAACCGAACTTCGGATTACGACGAGGGTAGAAAATAAAAACGATGGAGCATTTCCTCCCGACTGGTAAAAAATAATGACAGATTATTCTTCGGAGCCAGAATGAATCATTTGGACTTCGGTTATTGAATGGGTTTTAAAAGCGCTCGATCAGATCGGCGCTCTCCTGTACACGTATGGGGTCGAATCTCAATTTCGACGTGAGCTCTGTTGCGCATTTGAGTCCATTCTTTCTGGGGCTCATGCGGAAATCGAGATAAGCTTCTACGCCAGAGGAGCGACGATGTGATCATGGTTTGGAGTGATTATTGTGATCATGATCGGTAAATAGTCGGCTTATATTGGTCGTATGGGTGCATCAGCGGCGTGGCGTACTTTGCGATATATCGATTGCTCTGCCATTTAAACCTGTGGAAAAGGATCGATAGACAGGGTGTTCGCAGCGAACACCTTAATAATCGATTCTTTACCACAGCTTCAAATGGGGAAATATCGATAATCGATCATTCACGCCTCGCTACTGGGATGCATCACTCGGTTTACGAACTGGTTTACAAAATGCGTAACTTTCATTTTGCTGTGGGTTGATTATTGGAATTGATAGACAAAGCTATTACGAAGAGAACACAAGGAAAATTGAGCGATCTCATTAGTTAAAAGGGTTGGCTTCAAACTTAGGGGGAAAGATGGACCGATAAATGGGAGTGTAGGGTCTCTCGAGGATTGTCATTGGTTCGTACTCAAAAATGCGCGTTTGATCAAGGTGTAAAATACGCAACTTCTACATCATTTTGCGTGGGTTATTTTCGTTTTTTTTTTTTAAAACAAAACCGAAGGCAATCCTGAGGGATGAATGGAGTCTCTACGATTCAAGAATGCAACAATTGAAAAATTAACGAACTAGCTCATTTTGAAGTCAAATGGACTGGAATACGGTCAAACAGTGGAAATGGGCGTCGAAGCTGACTTGATCTGACACTTCAATAAGAGAGCAAATTGTATCAATTACAAATTGTATGAATGTATTAATGTTACTGTATTGTTTCTATTTGTATTTTTTAGACCATCACGGAAAAAAAAAGAATTGCTGATTCAGCAATTCAATTGCTAAAAACAGTGAAAGCAATGTTTCAACGCAGATTTTACAACAAAAAAATGCTACTTTAACCACCCCCGTGGTTAAATTAGTTTACAATGTGGTTAAAGTAGCATTTTTTTGTTGTAATATCTGCGTTGAAACATTGCACTCACTGTTTTTAGCAACTGAATTGTTGAATCAGCAATTTTTCTTTCCGTGTACTTCCTCTGTTATGAATGATTATTATTATCAGTTTGGGGTTCTGAAAAGGCGCCTAGGTTTCCATGCGACCCGCCACGCACGCAGTAGATCTATCAGCCGCGAACGATTCAAGAACGCGCCCGGCCCTCCACGCAACCCGCACTACGTATCATTCAAATTTCCCGGTTCACGGCCGGATCACTCGGCATTACTTGCAGCCGGATGAACGCGTCCCCGTGCCCCGATAACAGCACCGTCGTTGCCGGATAGTGCCGAAAACACGGATTTTTCTGGCTGAGACCAGTTATATTATTCGTATTTTATCGCATGACGTGACAACCATTCAGCTTGCGAATATGCTAATTCTCTCATCTTATACCCTCCTCTTCCACCACCACTCCGTAGACGCCGCTAAATTGACTGCCTTTGTTACAGGGACCTTAGATGTCTTCGGAACACCATCCACACGAACCTCATGTCAACCTACATCCTTACGGATTTCATGTGGCTCCTTACGATCACGTCACAGGTAAGATTTTATTGAAAATTTGATTTGATTATTCAGATGACACCAGTGGTGTGGCGTGAATTGCGATATATCGATTGTTATGCCATTTAAACCTATGGTAAAGAATCGATTATTATGGTGTTCGCTGCGAACACCCTGTTTATCGATCCTTTTCCATAGGTTTAAATGGCATAAGAATCGATATATCGCAAAGCAAGCCACGCCACTGATTCAGATGACACCGCTCGCAGGGCCGTATAATTGGTCGCTCTTTGAGCACTCACTTCCCTTAGGAAGGCCCCATATCGTCGTCTTCCGTACGAAGGAACGTAACTCGATTTCAAGGTTGCCAAATTGCGTCAAACAATTAATTTTTTTTACAAAAATGTACCGGTGCAATTTTATCCAAAATTTCCCTGATTTTTGCATGAAATGTGAGGAAAAATCAGCGCAATTTTCAGTTAGAAATGCTCAAGATTCTCCTGGTTAATGTGCAATTTGCGAGGGGAAATTTGGCAGCAATGAAACGGAGTTACGTTCTTTCGTGAAGGAAACGACGATATGCTTTACGTTGTGATTAGGGGAAGTAGAGGGTGGATTTTCAGAAATTTGGGGAACGAATGGTAGTCGATCGATCAATTGATTACTGTATATTAGTACGTTTCTTACACATTTCTGAGCATCAAATCACGCGCGCCGTACTACTTTGGGTATTTGTATGCCAAGTTGCACCGAGTAAAGAGAGGATTTAATTAAAATATGGGTGAACAAGGCTAAAAAATGATTAAAATACTAAAAGGCAGGACGTTTCGAACTGTAAAAGGCAGGACGTTTCGAGCTGTAAAAGGCAGGACGTTTCGAGCTGTAAAGGGCGGGACGTTTCGAGCTGTAAAAGGCAGGACATTTCGAGCTGTAAAAGGCAGGACGTTTCGAGCTGTAAAAGGCAGGACGTTTCGAGCTGTAAAAGGCAGGACGTTTCGAGCTGTAAACGTCCTGTCTTTTAGTGTTTTAATCATTTTTTAGCCTTGTTTACCCATATTTTAATTAAATCTCCTCTTTATTCGTATATTCGGGCTATGTTTTTGCACCGAGCAATACTACCGTGCTGAGGAAGAAGGCCGTATGAATATTCGAGAGTTGCCAAATTTCCTTCGATAAAATGTTCGTTTTTTGTGGAAAGTTACAAACATTTTTCCTTTAAATTTTCAGAACCTCTAGGTGAAATCGTGAACTAAATTATCTGAAAAATTGCAAGAAAAATATTTATAAGTTAGTCACGATATTCGTGTTTTAGAAATAGAAATTTGGCGACGCCTGAAGGTCCATACAGCGTTTTTCCAGTAGCATGGCAGAATACTCTGTGATAAATTCGATAGTGCGTCCCGGATGAATATCGCAAATGAACGCATTCAGTGGCGTGGCGTGAATTGCGATATGTCGATTGTTATGCCATTAAAACCTATGGAGACGGATCGACAAACAGAGTACACCTTAATGATCGATTCTTTACCGTAGGTTTAAATGGCATAACAATCGACATATCGCAATTCACGCCACGTCACTGGTAACGCATTTAAATCAAAAGGAACTATGCTCATTTTGACAAGAGCCTTGCTATCTCAGGGCTCACATCAGAATGGATATAATTCCTTATGATCTAAATAAATCTAGTTACGTTATTCACGGGGGGCGTACTTTTAAAGCTAAATTTCAAAATGTTCTGTGGTCAAGTTGTGTGTATCAATTAATGCCTAGTATACTGCAGCCTGATTTGATGCTCGGAAATTCGTGAGAGATGTCCGAACTCCTAGAAATCATCAATTGATCCATCGACTTTTGACACGTTCTGCAGAGTGCTGAAGAGTCACCTTAAGGGGATCTTCAAATTAGTTTCATAAGGCAAGTTTTCCAAAACTGGGGTAAAATCAAAGCACACCACTTAAAAAACGGATTGTTGCAAGGGATTGAAAGGATTTGCCTCTGCAAGGAATACATATAACGTGGCCTAAATACCACGATATTTTAAAACTTCAAGGGAGGACTCAACCTTCACGGAGAAAAAAACTTCGTGCGTGGGACCCGAAATTTAGGTCATATGGATCTCTGAAGTTTTCGGATTGAGCATCTGAACACTTTAGGTCCAGCTGCTGAGGTTTGGATCACACATCTGAAACTTCAGTTCTTACATCTGAAGTGCTTCGGTTTTCACATCCGAACAACTTCGGTTCTCACATCCGAAAAACTTCGTTCTCACATCTGGAGTACTTCAGATGTAAGAACTGGAGTTTCAGAAGTGTGATCCGAACCTCGACACCTAGACCTAAAGTGTTCAGATACTCAATCCGAAAACTTCAGAGATCCATATATGACCTAAACTTCGGGTCCCACGCACGAGGCTTTTTTCTCCGTGTGCGGAAAAGTTGCCGATTGTAATGAGCCGAAACCGCGAGTAACAGCGTTTCCGAAATAAATTCCAAGTTCACGGCTTCAACAGCTAGGCAACTGTGAATTTTTCAAGCGCGCCAAGTTGCGAAACGGCTACTTGCTTCCGCCAAAAATTTCAGGGATCCAACACTCGGACTGTGGCTTGTGGCTCCATCGATGTTCCGGTAAACTGTTCCGCGTCGATACCCCCAACTTCTCATCAAACAATTATGAAGAGGTGGTGGGCGGGCAATCAATACAAAGGTAATCACAGGAAAGAGCCCCCGTAGAGAGTATTGGGGACCCCCTGGCAGCGCAGTGGTCAGATAAATCCAGTGGCGTGGCGTGCTTCGCGATCCATCGATATATCCCCATTTGAAGCTGTGGTAAATAATCGATTATTAAGGTGTTCGCTGCGAACACCCTGTTTACCGATACTTTTCCGTAGGTTTAAAAGGTCGATCAATCGATACATCGAAAAGCACGACACGCCACTGGATATATCCTAAGTTGCCGGTTCGTTGATGGTTCATCATCCTTTCAAAGAACACGAGAAAAAATGCTGAATTTTACGAGTTGGACATCCAGTTAGCAGGTATTTCTATAGGAGAGATCGGGTCCGTAATGATAGAGTGCATTAGTAATGGAAGTCGAAAATGACATCGTGTTCGACGTCATGACCAAACAGCTTGCCTGGTCTGGTCATTAGATCAGGATGACGGAAGAGAGGCAGAGACTGCCAAAAAAGACGCTTGATTGGGTTCCTCCAGGGAGGAGACGAAGGGGACGCCCGATGAAAGGGTGGCAACAGGGAGTTTTAGAAGAGATGAGGGAGTGCCAACTCCCTGATGGGCTGTGGGAGGACCGAGTTTTGTGGCGGTTAGGCGTCGCAGAGCACCAAAGAGCGGTGTGAAAGTGGCTCTCATGTATGTATGTACGTATGAACCACCGGAAGAAGTAATCAATAAAACGGTAACTGCAGCACGCAAGAAATAGACCATTTAATAAGAATTGAGGTAATTCTTTAATAAATCTAAGCTGGAATCACAGGATGTGTTCCAGCATCAAAGACTCGTGGAAAGTTAGAAACTCATAAAATATAAATCATTAAAAAAAATTGTTTAGGGGGTAACCGTGTTTTTTGACTTTGAAAAATCATTTCAATTTAAAGGAACATTTTACCAGGGCAAAGAAATGTCTTTTTGAAAGAAGAAATAGTTTCTTTTTTAGAGCTAATTTTATTCATCTCTCGCTTTGACATTCTGATGAAGAGACGCATGTTGCGATACTCGATTTCGCGGTATACCGTACTATATTTTGCAATTAAGGAACTATTATTTGTAGCTAACTCCGAAAATCACCTATCTGCGCAGGGAAACTCATGACACATACGTTGTTTATGTAATGAGCCAAAAATAGTAGTATCTTATTATAAAGTCCAGTTGGCAACAATGCTTACGTGTGCGGCATGCCGAACGGGCCCCACTTTTCCGAAACCTTATGAAGCGAAATTAAAAGCGTGATGCTAGCTGCTCTTGAACTCGGGGTGTGGATATGAGGTTGCGTACGAGAGAATGCGTAGCTATGAGGGTAAGGGGGGTTAGAGAGTTCCCCCCTTTCTCCCCCGACTCGTCATCAGCAGATCGAAGCTAATCATTTTTCTTTCCTATCAGTGGCGTGGCGTGAAAGATCGATTATCGATACCTCTTTTTTTGTATCATAATATGACTTTCATTCCGCGTGCAAGATAGGATCCAGTCGATTAAGTCATAAGTCAAATAAACCAGAAAGTCTCAATCATCAATCTGCAGCAAACAATACGGATGTGAGCATGATAAAGAGTTTAGGATAAAGGACATGATTGGGTAAACTTCAGGAAATCAACCTAAACATCGGTCGATTTCGCTTTACCTTAGCGAACAGATGGATCACAAACAATTCTCGTAAGATGGCATATCATAATGTTTCAGATTGGAGAATTTGCATGCAAATTTTTTATTGGCTCATCTGAAAGTGCTTAAAGGGCTGATTTCGCAGTATTTTTTATAATTTCTTTCTGGTATGGGAAATAGTATACAAATAGATTTAAAAGTGAGAAAATGCACCGCGTAGTAGTGACGTCATCTGGCGGCATTTCCCATTTAAACACCCGTATTTTAGCAGATTGGATCATTTTGTCATATCTTCTCCAATGATTGTTCAATTCATCAACCAAGGGAATCCTCGTGTTCAGTTCACTCCGCAGTTTCCACATAAACAAGAAATTCATCAAATTTCAGACACTTTCCAATTCTTCCAATTTTAAAATCCGCATCTCTGTTATTCCTCAATTTAAACTCACTGTAAATATATGTTGATTCCACGGTATGGAACCTGAAGCTAAATGCTGCCAGCCTGAAAAATTCGCCACCGTACAAGGGTCAAAGCAATCACGGAGCGATTTAAAAGAAAGTGCAACAGGAAACGCGTTCACGCATTAGCGCGCACGGAAAGCTAGAGCGCCTTCACATATTTGAGTATGCAACCCGAACATCCTCAGAACACGAATAGTCGCATCCCAGCGCCGGTCTTTGGATTTAAGCTCCACGATCGCATAA